CACCCAATGATACCTTACCTTGCAGGACCATGCTCCTAGCCTGGGTCTCGTCGCTTCGCTCATTCCTCTCCCCATGGTTACCGTACACTTACCTGTCAGATGCTCTAATCCTTCTCCGGCGCTCTCCTCCTCTTCACTCGCTCGATCTTCGCCGGTGTGCCTAAGCTCGGCTCCTCCTCTCCAAGCAGCTCCACCTGTTGCCGGTGATTGGCCGCCTGTGTGCCTCTCCTGAGCTACAGTGCCGGCGGGCCAATCACAGGCGAGGATTGATCTCGAGGTGTGTCCAGATGACAGGGGCGGCATATCATCCCGCCCACACCTGGAGACGGCCCGGGGGCGGTGGCGGCGGAGAGCGGTGTCTCGGTTCCTAAGACCATCGGAAATATGTGTTTTCCGATGGTCTTAAGCGACTCCTGTGGAAGCGTCGTTCGACCCCCAAAGGGAGTCGCGACCCCCAGGTTGAGAAAACCGCTGCCTTTTAGACCATGATCGCAACGTTTTTTAACACAGGTTTTACACACTTTTGTGAGGAGCGCAATTTTTGTCTTGGTCTCTAAGTTGTACTTTAACCACCTCCTGCCCACCATATAAGGTAATGACGGGTGCAAGGCGGTTCTCTCGTTCTGGGAGGACGTCATATGATGTTCCTCCCACTCTATCTGCGCTCATGAGCGGCTACGGTGGTGCGCAGCGGGGAGCGATACAATGGTGCACTCTGTCCCTTGGACACAGCGGATCACCACGATCAATGGAAAGAGCTGAAGATGTTGGCGTCAGTCATATGATCAGCTGTGTCCAATCCCGTGTAAATAGGGAAATGCTCTAGGGAGCTGTCACGCTGACAGCTCGTGAGAAGTGGAAAGCCAGTAGTAATCGGCCACATCCCTCAGAGGGGACATGTACATGATGATCAGTGTAGCCCCAGCAGTGCCACCTATTCAGTGCCCATCAATGCCACCTGCCAGTGCCCATCAGTGCCATATATCAGTGCCTACCAGTACACATCAATGTCACATATCAGTGCCCATCTGAGCTGCCTTTCAGTGTCACCTATCAGTGCCGCCTATCGGTGTCCATCAGTCTGCCTATCAGTGCCACCTAACAGTGCCAGTCAGTGCCGCCTATCAGTGCCATATATGAGTGCTGCGTTTCAGTGCCCATCAGTGATGCCTGTCAATGCCATCAGTGCTACCTACCAGTGCCTCCTCAACAGTGCCCATCAGTGCCACCTATCAGTGCCCATCACTGCAGCCTCATTAGCGCACATCAGTGAAGGAAAAAAAATCACTTATTTACATTTTCTAACAAAAACGAAGAAAAAAAAATTTTTTCTTCCAAACTTTCAGTTGTTTTTGGTTTGTTTAGCAAAAAATGAATGAAAAAACCCAGAGGTGATTAAATTACCACAAAAAGAAAGCTCTATCTCTCTCAAAAAAATGATAAAAATTTCATATGGGTGTGTTGCATGACCGCACAATTGTCATTCAACGTGTGAGAGCACTGAAAGCTGAAAATTGGCCTGGCAGGAAGGGGGTATAAGTGCCCTGTAGGGTAGTGGTTAAAGTAGGCAAGATAAACCTTCTTGACAAAGGTATTGATGTTGCGCCTTTGATCCTACAAAGTGAAGCTGCTACAGATGTAGCAGAAGACATCTGGGTCATTACTGCATTTCCTTCTTTTGGATGTTGTAGCCATTGTTAGATCATGCTCTGCAGAAGGAAAATATTAAATAAAAATGTGGATATCTACATAAAATGATATTATAACACACTATCCTAAAAATACAGCACCATATTTTAACACTAAAACAGTCACTGACTCACAACCATTTGCAATCATAAGTGACAAAGAGTTAATTTCGGGTAAAATCAATAAAATGGGGTATGCCGATAGCATAAAAATGAGATGTGATAGAGCAAATTTGAGATCAGATTTTGAAGCAGCACCCTGACATTAGTCTAAAACAGCTGCAAAAGTCCAGGCCAGAATGTCTTTATTTTGTTGACCAGTGATCAGTGCTACTTTGTGGCTGCTGCTAAAGGGACTGATAGGCCTCTTTCACACAGGCTGCAGCTTGTACAAAGAGCAGTGTGAACAGAAGCTTTGAGAAATAATCTGCAGAACTGTCAGCAAGCTTTGTTGAAGCTTTTAAAGTACCATTTAGCTCCAGTTTGTTACTGTTGAACACAGATCCTAATGGAAAGTGTTGATTGCCATTTTTAACAAGCTGCTAGCAGGCTTCGATAGGCTTTCAATACGCTTAAAAAAAGTACTGAAAGCCATGCTAGCAACTTGTTAAAGTGGCAATCAATATTTCCATTAGGATCTGTGTTCAACATTTACAAACTGGAGCTAAATTGTACTTTATAAGTTTCAACAAAGCTTCCTGAAAACTGCAAATGCATTCTCAAACCTAGCTGTCCACACTGCTCTTGTACAAGTGAAGCCCCATGTGAAACAGGCCTTACTGCTAGGGATTTCAGGAAGCTGTTCTCAGAGTGGTTTCAGTGCCTTGGTTATCCTGTACCTTAAACCTTCTCCATGCATTTTGTCTGTGTTCTGCAATAAACAGTAAATGACCTCTGAACTGCAGCCAGAGTTTGGAAAAGTGTTACTAAACCCACAAAAGTAAAATCAGTCTGTATATGCAGTAAAGCATGCTTCTTATATTACTGTGGAACCGAAGGGGTTAATCCTCTGAATTGTGTAAAAAGACTGTTTGATCCTGTCTTCTCTGATCCTTCCCTTCTACTTTCCCCCAATCTATCTGCTGATAGAATAGAGCCTTGGGCCAAGCTGCACGTTTAGTTTGGTGTGTATTGCTAGAGAGTTGTTCATTTCTTGGGAGTGTGCATGTGATCAGCATGGGGCCAATCAGATAGAGGGTCGGGTCCTGCAGCCTCATAGGGGAGAATGAAAACTCCTCCTACAAGCATTAATCAGTGCTCCACTGGGACACTGATAGAAGTCATAAGACTGCTCTAATTATTGATGAGAAAAGGTATTTAGCAGTTTAATATTTACTAAAATAGTTGCATTTCCATGTTGTGAATGCAGGGTCTGGGTTTTAGTAACACTTTAATGACCTATTAGACTCCCCATACAATCTAACCGCACAATCTTTGCACAACTCAACCAAAACTATGAGGGCTTACCTAATCTAACAAATCAATCTCCATTCCAATCATGGGATTGTGCAATTAGATTGTAACATGAGTGGTGAGCTTAAGGACTGGTAGCAGGGCAGGCAGCATATGGACAGGTAGGGGGACCCAGCTATTTCCAGCGGTTTCTTCAGGAATCATCACTAAACAAATATTTCTCAAATGTTCTTGTCAATGGTGTACATTTAGTGTATAAATATGCAGTTCTGTACTGTAATGCCCAATGAAAATGCAACTTGAGGACAACTCCTTAGAAACTATGTACAAGTCCACAGACAAAGATTCTCTTTTTGGAGAGCTCTCCAGCCCTCATGGTGTCCCACTCCAGACCCAGATGAATTCTCCTCTTCACCCAGCTGCTGAGGGAATCCCTGAGCAAGGGGATCCAGAAACTGCCACTTTAGCCAAGCAGCTCCAGATGAAGAGCTAGTTGGGCTGGACACCTGACTGCCCTCTCCCCTTATCTGGCCCAGGGGGCCTGATGTGTGGGATTACTCACTCAGTCCTCTGCTGCAAGCTTGTGGGTTGGAGGCTGCCTTCAGGCCTTACGCTGGGCTGGCACCTTCCCTGCTTCCCAGGCTGTCCTGTCTCAGAGGACAGTTGAGGCTGAGAGATCCTCATTACCAGCTCCTGCCTGCAGGTAGACCCTCTGCTTGGCCCTCTCCCAGGCTCCACACTCTAGCCTTCACTCCATCTTCTCCACCTGACACTACTCCCCTGCTGATCAGGCTCTTCTCATATTTAGGGCTGTCCTGGCCCCATGACAAAGCTCCTGCTTAAGGATTGGCCAAGATCCCTAGTTATGCAGATCAGCCCCTCCTCACCCCCCACCCACTGCCTTCTAGAAACTTCTCAAGTTTCTAGAGCAGGGGGAGGTATCAAGGAATTGATCTGCAGAGCCCTCAGCCCTGACCTGGTTGACTCATACCCAGGCTGACTCTAACTAAAAACCTAGTCAGCTCCCCCTGGCAAAATAGAGGGGTGCTACACACATATCGCATGCACAGTATGTATGTGAGCACCAAATTGCATGGTACCAAAAGTACCATGTGGTTTGTTGCAGTGCGTTTTGAAGAGGTAGTGATGTCACTACTTTTACTGTGTTCCAGTGGAATTTGTAGCCCATTCAACTGAATGGGCTGTAAAATCAAACTGCACAGGAAGGCTTGAAAGCTTGAGAGCCTTACCATTTGCATTTGCTTTTCTATACCATTACACATTTCAAAACAATTGTCTTAATGGAAAAAAAAAAAATATTTTCCATCTGCCTGGTTTTACATTGTATGTAGAGGCAATGCTGTGTCTTAAATTTTGGTTAGAGTAGGAAATGATTAGACCCCCAACCAAATTTTGATTTAGTGCTCTGTTTCCACTTGTTTTCACTTTCCACCTCTTTATTTGCCCTGGTGATCATAGTCATTGAGACAGTAAGAGGAAAATCCTACGTTTTAGAGTTACCATGAGAACAAAAAAGTGAAATCTTCCAATGGGCGCAAATAGTTCAGTGACAGTTTTCTGTGATGGGAATTCCCCTCACTTCTTACTTTAGGGAGATTTCCTTTCACTCCCTGTTGTGTTTCCAAGACAGGAAGTGAAGGGAAATCTCCCTAGCAGGGCACAGACAGCAACAAAAACCTGAGAGGGGTTTTAAAAAACTTTCCTACTTTATCCAAAACTGAAAAAATAAAATGTATGGGCTATACATACAGTTTAAGGGCCTGATCAGACCCAAATGTGGAGTGGGAAACCCACATTCTGTGCAAGTTTCCTGCATCGCTTTTTAACCACTTACCGTTTGGCCCATGTACATAAAGGGCTGGATGGGAGAAGTGCAGGAGTGGGTGGACGTTATAAACAGCCTCTGTGTGAGGTCCTGATCATGTGATCACTGATTGGCCAATCAGTGATCACATGAATAGTAGTAAGCAAGATGTCACTTGCTGACATCATTGCTTACTACTAGTGAAATCTGTGAATGATCACAGAGGTCACATGGTACAAGGCTATTCACAACAGCCTTGTACCATGTGACAAGCTGTGACCAATCACAGTTCACACAGTATTTCTCAATGGTTGCAAGAATGCAGTCAGAGAGAAGGAGAAATTATTGCTTTTACAGCCTTTATGCGTGTAAAAGCAGTATATATAAAAAAAAAAAAAATCTTCATCACCCCCCACAAGTAGTTTGGTGACACTGTACTGCTAGGGTGACAGTATGTTTTAAAAAAACATAAATAATATAAAAAATTAAAGATGTAAAAACAATTTTTTTTATTATAATTTTTGGTTATAAACTAATTTGGGATATTTATTTTTTTTACTAGAAAGATGGCTGAATACGTTTTTGGCCAAGATTTATGAAGAAAGATTATTTATTTACAAAATTTTATAAGAAAAAAACTTTTTTTTCAAAATGTTTGGACTTTTTCATTTATATAGCAAAAAAAAAAAAAAAAAAAAACCCAGTGGTGAATAAATACCACCAAAATAAAGTTTCATCTATCTCAAAAAAATGTATTTGGGTACAGTGTTGCATGACCGTGCAATTGTCATTCAAAGTGTGATAGCACTGAAAGCTGAAAATTGGCCTGGACAGGAAGGGGGTGAAAGTTCCGGACTTGAAGTGGTTAAAATGCACTGCGATCTGCAGCGGGTGTCAATGCGGTGTTAATGACACGCCTAATGCAGGTCACAAACATAGTGTGTTTGCCTTCATCAGATCACATGGTACAGAAGTACCATGTGATTCGGTTGCAGTGCGTTTTTTAATGTAACGCATGCACTACTTTTTGGTGAGGTGCAATGCGATTTGACCCCTTTCAAAATAATGGCCTGAAAACACACTGCACTCAAATCACACAGGAGCGTGTTTCTGTGCAATTCCTGGTGTGAACCAGCCCTAAATAATATTGCTTGCTGTAGGCATACTGAGTTTTACTTAAAAAAATATCTTTAGATATAATAAACAATATTACTAAAGGAATGTGGAAGGCTATTTGCCTAATATACACTACCAAAGAAACAAATGACTTTGCTGCTGCCTATAGCATCCAATCAAATTCACATTTTTATTGTTCAGGATAGGAGCGAAGAAATGAAAAATTCGATTCGACTGATTCGGCGAATTCGTGGACAATATTCGATTCGAGTCGAATAAATTCGCTGTGAATTTAACTTAAAAAAAAGGGTGTTTCTAGGCTTCAGAGAGACTTAATATTAGTGCAGAACACTGTACCTTTAATTTAAATGCCCTTGGAGTCTGCTGGGGAAGAGAAATAATACTGTCAGTCAGTATGACATGCAGATGAGTGCCGTCGATCTTAGAATCACCGCACACTTCACTCATTTGGGCAGTCACGGGGCCAAAACCAGAGTGTGGAGCCACAGTGTGGCGGTGGAGGCAGCAGCAATGGGAGGCCATACAGCACCCTATGACAAAAATGGAAACCACCAGCAGTGTGAGGAGACCTGAAAGTGGCACATGGCAGAGAGTGTGGCGATAGAGACAGCAGCAATGGGAGGCCGTACAGGGACCCATGACACACTCTGGACCTGGCAGCAGCATGAGGCGGGCGGTACAGGGGCCCATGACAGATTACGGGCCTGGCAGCAGCATGAGGAGTCGGTACAGGGGCCCATGGCAGATTACGGGCCTGGCAGCAGCAATGGGAGGCCGTACAGGGACCCATGACACACTCTGGACCTGGCAGCAGCATGGGGAGGCGGTACAGGGGCCCATGACAGATTACGGGCCTGGCAGCAGCATGAGGAGTCGGTACGGGGGCCATGACACACTCTGGACCTGGCAGCAGCATGAGGAGGCGGTACAGGGGCGCATGACAGATTACGAGCCTGGCAGCAGCAAACTTGGACAGGAGGACGTTCAGCTTCTGCACCGTCGGGTGCGTGCTCGCAAACTGTTGTCTCTTGGAAACGGATTCCAAGAAAGACTGCTGACGGAATCCGTGAAGAGGAGTAGCAGGAGAAGGAGCATCTGAACGAGCGGAATATGCCAACAAGCGACAACAGTGGCCCATGACAGATTACGGGCCTGGCAGCAGCATGAGGAGTCGGTACGGGGGCCCATGGCAGATTACGGGCCTGGCAGCAGCTATGGGAGGCCCGTAATCTGCCAGCACCCTATGACAAAAAATGGAACCCACCAGCAGTGTGAGGAGACCTGAAAGTGGCACATGGCAGAGTGTGTGGCGATGGAGACAGCAGCAATGGGAGGCCGTACAGGGGACCCATGAGAGACTCTGGACCTGGCAGCAGCATGAGGAGGCGGTATAGGGGCCCATGGCAGATTAGGGGCCTGGCAGCAGCTATGGGAGGCCCGTAATCTGCCAGCACCCTATGACAAAAAATGGAACACACCAGCAGTGTGAGGAGACCTGAAAGTGGCACATGGCAGAGTGTGGCGATGGAGGCAGCAGCAATGGGAGGCCGTACAGGGACCCATGAGAGACTCTGGACTTGGCAGCAGCATGAGGAGGCGGTATAGGGGCCCATGGCAGATTAGGGGCCTGGCAGCAGCTTGGGAGGCCCGTAATCTGCCAGCACCCTATGACAAAAAATGGAACACACACCAGCAGTGTGAGGAGACCTGAAAGTGGCACATGTTTGGGGCATGATTCATGGGCGGATTTAGTCAGTTGTGTCAGGAACTGGTGGTTTGAAATCCAGACTAATCCACGCCTGATTCATTTTCACAAACGTGAGTCTCTCCACACTTTGGGTGGACAGTCGTGTCCTCCGCGGAGTTGCAATACCTCCTGCCGCACTAAACACGCGCTCCGATGCCACGCTACTGGCCGGGCATGACAGCCTTTCAAGGGCAAATTCAGCTAGTTGGGGCCAAAGGTCAAGTTTCGTTGCCCAGTAGTCAAGGGGATTGTCTACCTCGGTTGGCAGGGTGCTGTCCAAGTAGGCCTAAGCCTGTTGTTTGAGGTCCTGCTCCAGGTCCACCTGATGCTGCTGCTGCTGCTGCTGCGGGCTGGTTAGTAGTTTCCTCACTGCGCTGGTGAAGAAAGCTACTCATCATCGACTGCAGACTGAGGCAGCCGCTGCTGGTGGAGCTGCCACTGCTCCTACCACCCCACCCCCCCCCTGCTGCCATGGCAGCGGAACACGAGCGCACAGGGCCCACAGTGTCTGAGGATGGACGTTGGCGCAGACAGGCAGAGACCAGCTGACTACATAGGTGTTTTTTATAGTACGTTATTTTGGCCTCCCTCTCAGCAGGTGTGAAAAAGGCCACCATTTTTGAACGGTAGCGAGGGTCCAACAAGGTGGACAGCCAAAAGTCATCCCTCTGTCTGATGGTTATTATTCGGCTGTCGCTACGCAAGCAAAACCGAGCATGCTATGGGCCATTTGTGCCAAGGAATGCGAGGGACTCCCTGCCTCCATCTCCACAGCATACTGCCACGGTGCGTCTAGGTCCTCTGTCTCCTCTTCCTCCTCCTCTACCAGATGCTCCTGCTCCTCCACTCCTGTCCGCGCTGAGTGGAAAAACCACCCATTTCACTCAATAATTCCTGAGCACCAATGTCCTCCTCTACCTCCTCCTCTTCTTCCAGTCCTGCCCCCACAGGGGCCATGTGGCGTTGAGATCTGTGCGCCACGTCTACCGCACCCTGACCAGCCATTGTTAACAGCATTTGTTCCAGGACGTGCAACAGAGGAATGACGTCGTTCATCCCATAGTCCTGCCGACTCACGAATAGCGTGGCCTCCTCAAAGGGCCTGAGCAAGCGCAGGTGTCACGCATGAGCTGCCAATGGCTGACATCTAAGTTACACAGGGAGTACCTTTATCTGCTTTTAACATCAGGAAATCTGTGATGGCCTTTTGCTGTTCGTAAAGGCGGTCTAACATATGTAGGGTTGAATTCCACCTTGTTGCAACGTCACGTCACAGCATGAGGAGTCGGTATAGGGGCCCATGGCAGATTAGGGGCTGGCAGCAGTTATGGGAGGCCCATAATCTGCCAGCACCCTATGACAAAAAATGGAACACACCAGCAGTGTGAGGAGACCTGAAAGTGGCACATGGCAGAGTGTGGCGATGGAGACAGCAGCAATGGGAGGCCGTACAGGGACCCATGAGAGACTCTGGACCTGGCAGCAGCATGAGGAGGCGGTATATAGGGGCCTACGGCAGATTAGGGGCCTGGCAGCAGCTATAGGAGGCCCGTAATCTGCCAGCACCCTATGTCAAAAAATTCAACACACCAGCAGTGTGTGAGGAGACCTGAAAGTGGCACATGGCAGAGTGTGGCGATGGAGACAGCAGCAATGGGAGGCCGTACAGGGACCCATGACAGACTCTGGACTTGGCAGCAGCATGAGGAGGCGGGTATATAGGGGCTTATGGCAGATTAGGGGCCTGGCAGCAGCTATAGGAGGCCCGTAATCTGCCAGCACCCTATGTCAAAAAATTCAACACACACCAGCAGTGTGAGGAGACCTGAAAGTGGCACATGGCAGAGTGTGGCGATGGAGACAGCAGCAATGGGAGGCCGTACAGGGACCCATGACAGACTCTGAACTTGGCAGCAGCATGAGGAGGCGGTATATAGGGGCCCATGGCAGATTAGGGGCCTGGCAGCAGCTATAGGAGGCCCGTAATCTGCCAGCACCCTATGTCAAAAAATTCAACACACACCAGCAGTGTGAGGAGACCTGAAAGTGGCACATGGCAGAGTGTGGCGATGGAGAGACAGCAGCAATGGGAGGCCGTACAGGGACCCATGACAGACTCTGGACTTGGCAGCAGCATGAGGAGGCGGTATATAGGGGCCCATGGCAGATTAGGGGCCTGGCAGCAGCTATGGGAGGCCCGTAATCTGCCAGCACCCTATGTCAAAAAATTCTACACACCAGCAGCAGTGTGTGAGAGACCTGAAAGTGGCACATGGCAGAGTGTGGCGATGGAGACAGCAGCAATGGGAGGCCGTACAGGGACCCATGACAGACTCTGGACTTGGCAGCAGCATGAGGAGGCGGTATATAGGGGCCCATGGCAGATTAGGGGCCTGGCAGCAGCTATGGGAGGCCCGTAATCTGCCTGCAGCACCCTATGTCAAAAAATTCAACACACCAGCAGTGTGTGAGGAGACCTGAAAGTGGCACATGGCAGAGTGTGGCGATGGAGACAGCAGCAGCAATGGGAGGCCGTACAGGGACCCATGAGAGACTCTGGACCTGGCAGCAGCATGAGGAGGCGGTATATATAGGGGCCCATGGCAGATTAGGGGCCTGGCAGCAGCTATGTGAGGCCCGTAATCTGCCAGCACCCTATGTCAAAAAATTTAACACACCAGCAGTGTGAAGAGACCTGAAAGTGGCACATGGCAGCAGAGTGTGGCGATGAGAGACAGCAGCAATGGGAGGCCGTACAGGGACCAGACAGACTCTGGACTTGGCAGCAGCATGGGAGGCGGTATATAGGGGCCCATGGCAGATTAGGGGCCTGGCAGCAGCTATGTGAGGCCCGTAATCTGCAGCACCCTATGTCAAAAAATTTAACACACAGCAGCAGTGTGAAGAGACCTGAAAGTGGCACATGGCAGCAGAGTGTGGCGATGGAGACAGCAGCAATGGGAGGCCGTACAGGGACCCATGAGAGACTCTGGACTTGGCAGCAGCATGAGGAGGCGGTATATAGGGGCCCATGGCAGATTAGGGGCCTGGCAGCAGCAGCTATGTGAGGCCCGTAATCTGCCTGCACCCTATGTCAAAAAATTTTAACACACAGCAGTGTGAAGAGACCTGAAAGTGGCACATGGCAGCAGAGTGTGGCGATGGAGACAGCAGCAATGGGAGGCCGTACAGGGACCATGACAGACTCTGGACTTGGCAGCAGCATGAGGAGGCGGTATATAGGGGCCCATGGCAGATTAGGGGCCTGGCAGCAGCTATGTGAGGCCCGTAATCTGCCTGCACCCTATGTCAAAAAATTTAAACACACCAGCAGTGTGAAGAGACCTGAAAGTGGCACATGGCAGCAGAGTGTGGCGATGGAGACAGCAGCAATGGGAGGAGGCCGTACAGGGACCATGACAGACTCTGGACTTGGCAGCAGCAGCATGAGGAGGAGGTATATATAGGGGCCCATGGCAGATTAGGGGCCTGGCAGCAGCTATGTGAGGCCCGTAATCTGCCTGCACCCTATGTCAAAAAATTTAACACACCAGCAGTGTGAAGAGACCTGAAAGTGGCACATGGCAGCAGAGTGTGGCGATGGAGACAGCAGCAATGGGAGGCCGTACAGGGACCCATGACAGACTCTGGACTTGGCAGCAGCATGAGGAGGCGGGTATATAGGGGCCCATGGCAGATTAGGGGCCTGGCAGCAGCTATGTGAGGCCCGTAATCTGCCTGCACCCTATGTCAAAAAATTTAACACACCAGCAGTGTGAAGAGACCTGAAAGTGGCACATGGCAGCAGAGTGTGGCGATGGAGACAGCAGCAATGGGAGGCCGTACAGGGACCCATGACAGACTCTGGACTTGGCAGCAGCATGAGGAGGCGGTATATAGGGCCCCATGGCAGATTAGGGGCCTGGCAGCAGCTATGTGAGGCCCGTAATCTGCCTGCACCCTATGTCAAAAAATTTAACACACCAGCAGTGTGAAGAGACCTGAAAGTGGCACATGGCAGCAGAGTGTGGCGATGGAGACAGCAGCAATGGGAGGCCGTACAGGGACCCATGACAGACTCTGGACTTGGCAG